AGGGTCTCGTCACCCCAACGGCCGATCGTCTCCGCTGCTAGGGGCACGAAGGTGTAGCCTTTCTGCCGACAGTTGGCACCGTACTTGCGATCTTTGTCGCGCTCCGCCCCTGCAGCTGCAAAACCGCCCGGCCGACGTGCGTTGCTGCGGTTGACCTGGGTGTGGTGGGCGGTTGAGTTCTCGGGCCGACACGGATGGACCACCGTGACGTCGCACAGGACACCTTCGCCGTTGATGGAGAAGAAGAGGTCCATGCGCTGACTGTTGGGCTGGGCGTTTGGGGGGGTGATGGCGAGAGACCGCAGGGGCACTTCGGTGACAGCCGTGATGCCCACCTCCGCAAGGATTGCCTTAAAGACGTCCAGCTCCGACGGCGAGCCACCAGGGAGGCATGGCCATGGCTGTGCACACGTGTGTGTGTGAGTGTGAATGCGTTTGGATGTATGTGGGAGCAACCTGTGCTGCTGTGCGGTGGTGGGGTGGGGGGTCTCATCGACACACTCAAGAGTCAATGAGACCCACTGCCGTCCCTCACCTAGCGCAGCAGCCATAGACAGGCCCACCACAGCAATGCCGACCGACCGAAGAGTGCGTGGACTGTGATGGAGAATGGACATGGTCTGGATGTTTGTATATCGCTTCATGGGCACTCATGTTCCCAAATTCATTGCAGCCATATGGCAAACAAGCCGACTAAAACACCATGCCCTGCACAGCGTACCATCAAGACCGTTGGCCGTTGGCGAGCTGCAACCGAGACCACATGGGTGATCCATGCGCACAGCCAAAGCGACCGGGCGCCGTGCCCTTCCCATCAAGTAATGCTGACTGCTGCGGTTGGGGCTTCTCTGATTCAACACATCTCATTCTGATCGCCGCGCATCTCTGTCTGTGAATTGTGTGGGCGAGTTGAAGTTCACCAGCTGAGGTGTACTGTAGGAATGCAAAGATCCAAACGATTGACGTACACGGGACGGAAGGGCTTGCCAAACGAATGAATGCGGGCAGTGCCTGCCAGGCAGAGAGCAAAGGAACGCATGACTGACTGACTGACTGACTCCAACATGGTGTAGTCTAGTGGGTGGGTGGTACAGAGGGTTTCAGCAAGTACTTCACGCAAACAAGTGATCGACTGACAGTCTCTCAGTGATCGAGTCAGTTGTACGTACAGTACGGACAGTGCGCTGTCAGCGGCAGGCAGCTGTGAAGAATGAAGGACCACACACACACACACACGAGGTGGCCACGCACACACACATACAGAGAGCCAAGTTGTCACGCCAATACTCAAATGGCCGGGATGGGAACAGGAGAGCGATGGCCGGGATGGCTTGACGATGGCACAATGTCATTCATCTGCGGGGCGCGCAGGACAAAAGCGATAAAATGACTGGCGCTATTCACCTGCCGAACGGTACGAGTGCCAGTCTCACTCACTTACGCCTCCAGGTCAGTAGAGTCTGTCTGTCTGTCTGTCTGTCAATAGACACGTACACGTGTGTGGGTCTGTCTGCCTGCAGGTAGGTGGTGTGTGGTGAGCCAGTGGGATGAAGAAGTCCATGCAGCCATTCACCAACTCAGTCGTATACCAAGTAAGTGTGTGTGTCGTCAAAACGTGTCGTCCATCCCATCCATGACAGACAAACCTTCACACCACACACACCCAGACAGGACACACTCATTCATTCGACCCCAAGATAGCTAAGGCTGTCAGGGTGTCCTGACTGGCTGCGTGGCACATCCCAGGTTCACGCGGCGACCACAGCTTGAAGGCTGTATACCTACCGGCCACACACGCGCCCCTTGAGAGGCCAGTGCACAGCCAGCCGCAAGGCCCGTGCGTCAGAGTTCACGCCTGCACCAAACGATGTGCATTGCGCGCCCCCTGACGGCGGACACTTGCACGGACGAACACCGCAGCAAATCCCTTACCCCCACAACACAGTGCATCACAGTCGACAGGTCAGGCAGCCGCATGTCAAACAGACAGGCAGGCATGGTGCTCATCCACCCATCTATTCCCACAGCCACTCGATGGTCACACACAACAGACAGCTGGCATTCTCGCACCACTTCTCCTCCCTCTCATCGCCCCTCCCGTCACCACACCACCACGCCGACCCACAACGCCACGACGCCTCACCGTCTCCCCTCGCCCACGCACTCGCACTCGCCCCGCTCCTCTCAATTACATTAGCCCGCAGAAGAAAGAAAGAAACCACTCACACACACATACACACACACATACAAAAAGACGCGGCCTGCGGTGGCCGCATGCACGCACAAAGCGACCTGCTGCGCGCATCTCTGAAGGCCAGACGGTGGAAGAAGCGATCAGGGGGGAGCAGACTGTCCGCAGCGGGACAGCGGCCGTCCTGGATGGCCGCCGGTGCAGCAGCTTCACCATCTGGCTGCTCTTGGGCGGCGGCTGCCATGTGTGTGAGGGCCTCGATGTCCTCTCCTTCGTCATTTATGGCATCGGTCGCCTTGGACGTCACTGCCTTCTTCGTGTCGTACTCGGACATCTCTTGTGGGAAGACATCGCTCAGGAAGGCCATGAACTTGGTGGCTGCCGCTCCCCTGCCGCCCGCCTGGCTGTCGCACTGATCAAAGACGGTCACCAGAGCCGCCAGCCAGTGGTTGAGGTAGTGGTGGGCTGCCGTGGCGCTAGCCTCTGAGCATTCCTGGGCGTCGCCAAACGTGAAGAGCGCCCTGCGGACGGCATCGAGGAGAGGGTCTCGCGCAATGTGGTGGCGTCAATCTCAAGAGCGGCAAGTGTCCGTAGACCACTCGTAGATGCTGCCGCTGCTGCTGGTTGTTTTAAGTCGGTCGTCTTCTGGTTGCTTGACGAGGACCCTGCTGCTGCTGCTGCTGCTGTTTTCGCTTCATGGCGCTGCTTGAGGATGGCCACCATTCTCCCTCGAACCTTCTCGTCGAGCACCGCCACGCATGCAGCCCAGTTCTGCCTGTCCTGCTGATTGAGCAGCGTGGCTATCTCCTCGACGCTTTTGCCTTGAATGGCCACCTTGAAGCGACTCACGGCTTCAGATGCCATCACCTCACCTGACATCCAGAACCTGAATGGAAACGGAGACAGATGGTTTATGCTTGGAACAGATCAAGCGGAGCTTCCACTACCTGTTTAGATGGTCAATATCCAAGCGCAATGCTGCGTTCAGATCGGCGCCATCTGCTGCGAGCTTAGCGGAGGGGCGGCCCTCACGGCTTGCTCGGATCAGGCTGCTCGGGGGCTGGGGTCCGACGCTGACGTTATCAATACGAACGCCTGAACACACACACCCACACACACGTGTGCACATGAATGGCCCCAGTTGCAACACACGGATGTCTGTGTCTGCCTTCTGCATGTGTGCGATAGACACCTGATAGATGAATAGGGTGGTGACTCGTGCCTTGGTGACCCCGATGGATCGGAGAATGGCCATCTCCTTGGTCCGCTCGAAAATGTTCGCGGCCGTGGACGACACCAGGCTGAGGAAACACAGCACCATCACCACCACAGCCGCCGCGGCAAAGACCACATCCATGATGCCACGAGACTGAGCCAATCAAGCCACACATGCACACCAACAAGAGTGAGGAAGAAATGTGATGTCTTTCCTCCCGCCCGTCGCACCTCGTTGACGCTGTTCTCCATATCGCGGTAGTCGGACACGGTGCTGTAGTCCGACAGGTCGCTGACGATGGCATCGAGGGTAGGCCCATCGAGATCAACATGGCCCCTCTTGTCGTGCCGCATATCCACCAGGGACCCTCCCAGTGCCGAGTTGCCGTATCGACCGTGGCCCGCCCGCCTGCTCTGCCAGCCGCAGAAAGGTCGGGTACGACACCAGCAGATTCTGCAAGTCCAGCTGCTCAGGGGACTTGGAGAAATAGAAGGCCGGCGCTGACTCGACAAAGGCAGCGGGCTGGATCCTCGCCAGGAGGCGGTGGCCCTTCTGCGTGATGCCCGGCTGGAGCAGGTCGCCAGGCACGGTGACGCCCCGACTGCCGACGTGGAGACGGACTTATCGATGGTGTCGCCGCTGATGGTGACGAGGAAGGACTGGTTGTTGGACAAGGGGTCCTGCAGCTGGAACTTGTCCTTGAAGATCGCACCCATCAGGCCGCTCGACGAACCGCGCACGGTGTAGAGGTACTCGGTCGGTCAGGGAGAGCCCCCCCACCCCACACCCACGGGCGTCACGCCGAGAAAGAGGGAAACTGGCCTCTGTGGTGGTGTGGATGTGTTTGGTGTAGCGGCCCTCGGAGCGAATGGCGAATACGGCCTGGACAGAAGCGCCGGTCTGCACAACCAGCAGATGGCCTTTAGCGACAGTGCTGCGGTTCGCAGTCGACACAAAGACAACGCCGAGCTCCGACAGGATCTCAGTGACCATTTGCGGGCTCGGGATGCCGACACATTTTGTCACGGCACCTGAACGCATTCATAAACACATCGCACACACAGACAGACAGATGCACCCGTCCATTCATCCAAGATGCAGGTAGGTCTGTCTGTCTGTGCGTGCTGTGTTTCACTTACCAGGGATGGAGTGGTGGCCAAGAAGGGCTGCCGTCCAGCCGAACTCTAAAGGCACGCACTCCCGGAGGAATGACTTGCCGATGAAGGCACACACTCCCGGAGGAATGACTTGCCCGAGCCAGCCAGACAGACAGCCAATCGCCTCCACCTACACACACAGACAAAGACACACAAACAGATACACACACAGACAGAGGCACACAAGTATGTGCACAGGCGAGATGAGCACATCTTTTGCGTGTGGTCGTACGTGCGTACCTCCCGAAGCGCCGAAGATGACATGTTGACTCCTTGAGTGTTCGCCGGGCGGGAGGCCGCGAAGAGGGGCCGGAAACCGGTTGAGTCGAGCTGCACGTTGAGGCCGCGGCGGGACTTGCCTGTGGCGACCGCCAGACGGACACCACGGCGCCGCAGGGCATCAAGGAAGTTGCGAGACCCGTCGAAGGGGTCAACCTGACGAAAAGAATGAAGACAATCATCGAGTCGATCGAGACATGTATGTCGTGTGAGTCGATCGATGTACCTGTGTCTCGATTTCCCATCAGTGTGCGCGGTATGCGGCCTTGATCTCTTCGTGCGTCTCTTGGTCGTCGTCCGGACAGAGCACCAGGGGCACGTCATCGATCGACAGGCCAATCGTCTCGCGGATCTCCCTCTCCAGACGCCTCTCGTCCATCGGCGGATCAGGGTCATGTCATCGTCACAATCACCAGAACCATCAGCCGCCTGCCGTCTCCTCTTGTTGTCGCAAGCGGTCTTCTTGCCCTCCTTGACGGCCCTCACCCAGCACCGGATGATCGACGTCACCGAATCGACCGCAGTGCCATCCCTGGTGGTGCACAGCACACGCAACAACCATTGCGGTGGCACGTGCATACACCACTGCACACCTGCCCGGGTCACCCACTTACCAGTCGAAGCAGACGCACCGCAGGACGGGCTTGTCGGACACCGCCTCCCTCACATCGTGGCCGACAGCCGCCTTGTCATGACACGGAGTGGGGTGCGGAGAGGGAGGGGCGCGGTCGGTCTGCACTGATGCCGCCGGTCGGAGGCCGAATGGTGCAGTGGCTGGGGAGGGAAGGTGGGGCGGCTGCGGGGTGTCTCGCTCGTAGTAGAGCTGGCCTTCCTGTGTGGGCTGCTGTCACCAACGGGTCTGCCGGATGGCCTCGCCCGTCAATCGCCGAGTGACTAAGGCCCACAGGCGCATTGCTGGCATGCGGCCCGGCATCTACAGCGCGGAGACGGCACTCCCGCGGCCTGACACAACCACT